TTTATAATCACTAATGAGACAATGGCTATGAAATTAATCAGGAAACGAAGTTCCAAGGCACTGAAGGTTTATGCAAAAGCAAATGTTCTTTGTTCAGTAAAGACTGCATTAAATAAAACCCACATTGATGTTTCTTAAACAAACAAACAAAAAAAAACTTCTAAAGAAGCCATGTTGCTTTTTCTCTGTGACATGGAATTATGAAAAATAATAGATGTTCTTTATTGGAGGAAATGAAAGTGGAAGAAAAGCAACATAGTTCTACCAATGACAGAACATGTATGCTGTAGGTAGGTCATCATGCAAACCTGCCACCCAGTGTTCTCTGAGCACTTTCAAACATTCACATCACCACAGTATATATGTAGCTTTCATAAAGGAGTTCAGAAGACAAAATTGATGTTATGCAAAAGTTCTCATTTTTCAGTACTCTGTACTCTGACTTTTTCCTTTGTTTCTTTATTGTCTTAAACTTTGAGACTATCTGCATTCTAAGCAGTTTCTTTAGTACCCCAACTTGGAAAGCAATTATATTTAACTCATTGCAGACAATGAGAGATCTTTTTGTGAAAGAAAAAAGGAGAAAGAAGAGCAAGGTTGGGGATACATGTTATTTCTGTCTCCCCTGGTGCAGTGTCAGTATCTGACAACTTCTCCAAACTTCTAATAAGTCTGCCCTCCCGCCGACCACATAAATAGTGCCAAGTTTAAACTGAAAAAGAAGCACCTAAATACTACTATCCAGGTGACTATGTAGAATAGAGTCTAGGTAAATCCCACACAGAAATCAGGGCCACTGCTAGCCAAAGTTGTAGGTTAGGACAGTTTTTATCTAAGACTTATTGTCTTCAATTAAACACTGTCCCTTTTTTGTACCCAATACCTTTGTAGCATGCTCTTGCTGCCTAGGTGCCCCTTAATGCAGTAACCCACACAGAGTCTCCTTTTATAGGCAACAATTTGTGCTCTAATGATTTTTTTCTTTTGTTTTGTTTTGGGGGTTTTTTTGCTACCCTTTATCAAAAATTGCTCACACCTGATCTTATTCTCTTGGGTTTAATTGTCTACCTTCCCAGCCAGAAAGCAAGTTCTCTAGGGACCATTGCCAGGTAAAAAGTTCTCTAGGGACCTTGTCTGCCTTTTTGCAGTGGGGGATTCCATGCACTCATCTGGCACACAGAAGAAAGCACACGCCCACCTATGCCATATATCAAGCTACTGAAGGCTTAAGTGAGAGCTTGCAGGGTGAGATATGGCCAACAGGAATGTACTCTTTGTCCTACTGAGTGCTTGAAACATTTTTTCCTAAGTTGAGAACATCCATTTAAAAATCTTAGCTTCTGTGAAAAAGATAGAAATCTGGTAACACTGCCAGGTGCCTTTCCTCCCTTGAATGAGGTATAGCCTTCCCATGTCCTTACCACTCCCTCTGGCTTCCCTAGACTGAAATTGTATCAGTACCAATATTGAGAAGCTAAAGGTCAAGTTTTAGGATATCAGCATATTGCACCTGGCCTGTGGTTGCCCTATTTGTTGGAGATGTTAGAATTGTGTATGTGACTCCAGTATTTAAATATTTTCCTTACAGATAATATCTTTTTGTTCTGTCTGAAGACTTTAAAATAGATAATAACATGGTTAGGAATGTCACACATTGTGGCAGGAGAAGTATTTTAGGCTGGGAGACCTTCCAGGTCACACCATGGACTGGGGCTACCATTTCTTTCTGTGCATAGACCTTTTGCTTGGGAAAAATTGAGATTTCTAGATTTTTACCATTTTTCTGAGGGCTCTTTTCCCCAAAACCCTCAGAGGTTGTACTATATGCATTGCCTCTTAGGAATACCTCTTTTTGTATTTGGATGCCATTTTCCCCCCAGATAACCATTTTCATAGAGCCATTGCAAGTGCTTATCTAAAGCTTAATTCAGTTTGGGGAGCGTATTTCTTGTCACTATGTGTATATGCAATGACAGCTTGACCATAGTCTACTTAACACAGCATGAGAGCATCCAGCTAGAGATCATTGGTGATGGAGAACAGCAAAGGTGTCCAGGAAGACCACTTAGGCCTCGGAAGAATTTTCCTCTTGTTTGACCAGGCACATAATTAAGAACCACTGGATAAGAACTACTAGATTGTTTCACATTTGGGGGAACTTGGTGTCACCTATGAAAGACATAGGTCACTTCTCTGTATCTGGCTAAGATTGCTGCTGGGAGAGTGGGGGGAAATTATATCACAATAGCTGCCCATAACTATGGCTTTATCTAAAATGGTATAGCTATCAAAGCCAAATCATCCTATGTAATAAAAAGCTACTGTGCAAATTGACTAAATGGCAGAATCACCGGTCACTGTGATGCAAACTGACCACCATGGGGCAGACTCTCAATGTAGGAGCTGCCCCTTGGTGGTCCGTGTGCTCCCACAGGGGGAGCACCACTCAGCCAGAAGCCGGGCTCACAGCTGGCAAGCGCAGCTGTGGGCAGACCTAAGCCATCAGTCAGGTCCTGGACTGTGAGAGGGCACAGGCCAGGCTGAGGGACACGCCCCCTCCCTGACTGCATGAATTTTATGCACTGAGTCTCTAGTGTCAATATAAAAAAAATTATTTTTGTTAGCTAAAATGTACTGGACTTAGAGAATATAGTATACAACTCTATCCTCATGACCTTCTTTAGCCTATGTCAATATTCTAATTATAATGCTTTATGTTTAGGAATCCTAGTATATCTCTTTTAAAGTAACCTATATTCAACATATACATTTGTTTAAAGAATGGTTTATGATTTTGAAAGAGAGAGGAAGGGAAAGAAAGAAGTATCCATGTGAAAGAGGAACATCCATCAGCTGCCTCCTGCACACCCCCTACTGGGGATTGAGCCCACAACCCAGGCATTTGTGCTGACCAAGAATCAAACCATCAACCTCTTGGTGCACAGAATGATGCCCAACCAACTGGGCCACACCAACCAGGGTCAATATACACATTTTTAAGCTAAAATAAGTGATTTAATATATAGGCACTTTCCATGTTTAAGGTACAACAAAAAACAAGCCAGGTGAAGTTGCTTCTTTCCTGCAGCTTACATTCAGTTGTCATATAATAAACAAATGAGCAAATGAATTAGTGCACCAGGTAGATAATGGCTATGGGGGGAAAGGAGGAAGGGGAGGAGAAGATGTGTGGCAAAGGATGATCTTTTATTGAATGAGGTCAGGGAAGGTGATCTTTGGGCTGAGACCTCTTGGGGTAAGGGAGCCAGCAATGCAGACTGTGGGTAGGGTTTCCCAGGGAGGTGGAAAGGCAAGTGCGAAGATCCTAGTGCATGTGTTCAGTGAGCTCAAGCATCAGCAAGGTGACCAGCCATCCTGGAAAGGAATAAGCATGGAAAAAAAGAGATACTAGCCGATTTGGCTCAGTGGATAGATCATTGGCCTCTGGACCCAAGGGTCCAGGGTTTGATTCCTGTCAAGGGCACATACCTCTGTTGCAGGCTCCTCCCTGGCCCGGGTCCTTTCAGGGTACATGCAGTAGGCAACTAATCTATGTGTTTCTCTCTGTCTTTCCTTCTCTCTGCCACTATCTCAAAAAAAAAAAAAAATCAATGGAAAAAATAACCTCAAGTGAAGATTTTTTTTAAAAAGTAATGACTTGCAGAGCCTTATGGGACATTGTGAAGACTTCAAATGGTTATGTCAAGGACAATGGCAAGTTGTTGGAAGATTTTAATCATTAGAGTAACTTTAAGAACATTTACATTTTAAAATCAATGGTGAGTCTTAGCTGAGTGACTCAGTTGCTTGGAACATTGTCCCATACTCCAAAAGGTTGCAGTTTCAATGCCAGGTCAGGACACATCCCTAGGTTGTGGGTTCTATCCCCAGTTAGGGCAAGTATGGGAGGCAATCGATCAATGTTTCTCTCACACATCTATGTCAGAGCATGAGTTCCTAATCTTTAAATTCAGAATTGTATCTCAGTATCACCGATTTCTTTAGTTATCTTGAGTATTTTTTCAATGCACTTAAAAACATTATTCTGGCCAAGATTAGTTTGGCTCAGTGGATAGAGTGTCAGTCTGCGGACTGGGGGGTCCCAGGTTCGATTCCAGTCAAGGGCATGTACATTGGTTGTGGGCACATCCTTGGTGGGGGCTGTGCAGGAGGCAGCTGATCGATGTTTCTCTCTCATCGATGTTTCTAGCTCTCTGTCACTCTCTCTTCCTCTCTGTAAAATATCAATAAAATATATTTTTTAAAAAAACACAAAACATTATTCTGAGAAAGGAAATCAGAGGCCTCCCCAGATTGTCAAAGGGGCCTGTGAGTGTAGAGAGTGTGCAAGGATTCAATTTATTTGTTTGAATCTGAGCAGAACTGCAAACGGTGCTGGGTTTATAATGTTTGGGAGAGAAGGGGAAGTGCTAAGCACAGGCCAAGGCTCACAAAGAGGCCAACCATAGGTAGGTGACCACATGTTCCATCCTGGCCAGGATTGTACCAATGTCTGACTTTGTCCAGGGGCAATTATTACTGTCACCTTCTTTCACTCTCACAAGTGTCCCAGTAAGAACATAAATTAAATGCCCCATACTGCTAGCTACACCTGTTATCAAGAAAGCAATGCTGTCTAGCCAGAATGCGTCAGTTGGTAGAGCATGATGAGTGGTGTCCCCGTCCCATGCACCAAAAGGTTCCCGGTCCTCAGGCCACATACCTGGGCTGGCAACCAATCAGTGTTTCTCTCTCACCTCTCTCTCTCTCTCTCTCTCTCTCTCTCTCTCTCTAAGCACATCCTCAATTGAAGATTTTAAGAAAAAGTGGTGATAAATATAGTAAACTGAGTGCTTTTTCCACTATGCATGGTAGGAGCTGCCAACCCCTGAATTTGGGCTTATTTCCATAATGAATGGGTATAATCAAAGTTAGAATATTATGCAAAAAATATAATGGAAGAAAATACTATTTTAATCATAATTATTTCTCTTTCACAGCCAAAAAAGAGCATAAAATGGAAGAAAGTCACTTGGAGAATGCACAGAAAAGGTAAGCAGTTCTAATTCGGCCCCAGCCCTTTCATTGATAGCCATTTTATTATTATTATTAATTATCATTAAGTACATTCCACATTGCTGTGCAACCATAAGCACCATGTGTATTCTGAAATTTTCATTTTCTTCAAAGGCAAATCTAGACCCATTAAACTCTAACTCCCCCATTTCCTTCCCCCAGCCCTTAGCAACCACCATTCTAATATCTGTCTCTGTGATTTTGACACTGCTCTAGTGACCTCCTGTAAGTGGACTCAGACAGTACTTTTTTCCTTTTGTGACTGGCTTGTTTCATTTGAATAATGTCTGACTATTCTTTTGGTCCCATTTGTTAAAACTATACCTCCATGAACAATAACAGTCTGTGGAGAGTGGGAGTGAAAGCACTGTGACAGGACTTGGGAATATTCTTCCTCAAGAAGCAGGAGATTTTTTAAAAAGCAGGAGATCATTCGGAAATGACTCACCTGCCTCATGTCATGACGCTATTTCCATCTCTTTGCCTCTCCTCCATCACTCTGCTCCTGAACCACTGCCTGGGAGTCAGGAACAACGTGGTCCTTCTTAGTGTTACAACTAGATCCAACCCCCTAAGAGATTTACTGTGTCTTTCCTCAGAGCCTAGAGGATATTGTGGGGAGAAGGGGATGACCTCTGTAGGGAAAACTCCCACAGAATTGGTCAGAAACCTCATAGGTCTCCTAATCAAGCTCTTCCCTACTCCCCTCTCTCAATGGCCATCAGAGTGGGAGAGGCCAGTAATCATTGGCTATGGGCCCCAGAGGGGTTCTCTTTTTATCAGTTGACCAGCTTAGTCAGTGTGGCTATCCCTCCCTCTTAGAGGAGGAATAGGAATATACTGGGGCATTCTCATATCCAGCGCAGAAAACTGAGATAAATGTTACTGGTATAATTCTAAAAGTACTAGAAAACTAAATAAGAGCAGGAAGAGGCACATACAGAAAAATGGGCTTTACAAATACGTGAGGAGAGGAGTTCGCTAAATGCAAATGAACAAACTTTTTACAAATGAGCCCTTTTCCTCCTGGGGGCTCTGAAAGACGGGACTGTGCTCTGCTTTGACAAGTCCCACATTCCTGCCCTGCTCTCCGCTGTATTCGCTAATGAAATTAAAATGCAGATGAGAGCGAGGTTAAGCTAAACCCTGCATTTTCCTAAGTGCAGACATGTTCTTGAATCGTGGCTTCATCTTCACATGATAATCTTTGACAATGAAGACAGTCACCTGGTTGTGTGTGTGTGTGTGTGTGTGTGTGTGTGTGGATTTCTGTGCCCTTTATTGGCCTTATCCCTACAGGAAGCTTCCCATCCTCCATGTGTCCAAGTACTACGTCTGTGAGACAGAAATAACCAGCATGCGTAAAGGAAACTCTCAATGAGGGCACATGAGTATAGGCCAAACAGAAATTCAGCTTCTGGGGTGGATGTCACTTCTAATACTTCTTCAGGATTCTTGCGTCAGGAGCAGGGGGCCCACCTTCGAGGAGCCGAAGCTGCTGCTGCGCATTAGCCATGCTGAGGGGGACCATAAATTCTGGCTGTCAGCGTTTTCCGTGACTTTGTGGTGAAGGTAGTCTAGCTTTCATGTCATACATGAAATATGTCCGATCCCATCTTTAATGTAGAAACCACAGTTGTTTGGTTACCCTCTTTAAGGAGGTTGGTGGTCAGTGTTGCAATATTCGTGTGAGATTTAGGAAATTCTTATGTTTTATTCTCAGGAGAAACAATTTACTCTGAGGCGAAGGAATATTTGCTTTTCCTAAGCAGTTTCTGAAGGCATGCATGTGAAACAGTAAGGAGATGTGTTCCGTTCTGGCCTCTCAACGCTGCAAAAGGAAAACGGTTCAGTTGGCCACGCGCTCTTTGGTAGAATGACTGCACTCTAAAAACGTTTAGCTGAATTGTAAGGATTCAGCTCAGACGAGGAATGGAAGCAGGGAGAAAAGGAGTCAGGGAAGAGTTTAGAGTGAAGTCAAGAAGTTATGTGAAACATGATCAGAAATCCATCCACTTTTTAAAAGTCGAAAGCTAATTTAGAGTCATCTGCTGGCAAATAAACGTACCAGAAAGCATGATTGCCCTTTGTTGGAGAAAATTCTCCTGGCTGCTTGGGATCGATAATTTTTATGCCCAAATTGCAGAAGGTTTGCAATCATCAGTCTTCTGTGAGTCAAAATTGAATTTGAAAGGAAGAGTTTTGTTTGGGAGGACAGTAGTCTAGACTATCAGGTAGTTGTAGGTTCATAGATGGGCTTTTAGCTGTTCCTTGGGCAAAGAGAGAACACGGGATCCAAACAAGGCGCACCTCGGATCAGCTGCTCTCCATCACGGCTGCGGTGCCAAGGCCAGGCCATCCCCTGTGACTCTGTTTACTTCGGTTCTTCTAAAGAGGCTCGCTTGCCTTCTTAGTTCCCAAAGCACATCATGGGGAAATGCTCAAGTTCTCCCTTTCCTTTATTTTTGCCCCCTCTGAGGGTGAGTAAGCAGGACCTCACAGCTCCCAGGGAGAGAGGGAGGAACACGGTTAGCTTCAGTTCAGTCAGGGAAAGCGAGGCCTCAGGATGATGGTATGCTTTCCTCAAGCTCTGCGATAGCCCCCAAACAGAGCTGCCATTCTCTGCAACTGCACCAGTGTGTGCAATGCCTACACTCGAGACTCCCAATAACGCTCGAGGTGTGGGGAGATCCGAGGAGCCCGGACTGGGGCTCTGTGCTCTTCACTGGGTCCTGCTGGGCTGTAGGAAAACCGTTTGTTCCCCTAAAGACTCACCTTGGAAGACTTTCTCCGCTCTATGAATGCACAAAGAAATATGTTTCTGTATAAAATGTTAGCATCTTGGAAGAGAAGAAAATGATGATGTCCTTTGCTGGGGGTAACACACATTATGAAAGATACAGGGGCAACTGTGTCTAAAGGGAAATTGGGAGGGAAACTGGTATTTCTTGAATGCTCAGGTCAGCAAGCATGAGCCACAGGGAGGAAGGACAAAGCATTTCCCTGAGAATCAGGAGGCCCAAGATCAGCCCAACGCTGCCAATAAAAAGGGACAATCAGTCTCTCCATGTCTTTGTTTTCTCGTCTGTAAAATGAGAATATTGGACAAGTTGACATGTAATTTCTCTTCTGATTCAAAAGCCCCAGCACTCTGTAAGAAAACCATGGCCAGATCCTATAGCTCCCAAAACTCTCTACAATGCATTTCCATGCTGCATTAATCTAATTTTCAGTTTGAATGAAATAGAATTACATGCCATCGAGTGTGCTTTGGTGTTATCAGGATTCTTCTTGCCACAAAATGGGTCCCACCTGTTGAAAGTGGACATTGCTACTTTCTTCCATTGCTGGTTTTGCGCCAAAATATACGTGTTCGGTATTATAAGAGAGTCCCTTAAGAAATTACTGCAGTTGTTGCCTTTCTCCACTTATACACTCCCAGTCTTTTAATAACTGGGAGCCAAAATTCCCTGTCCAGTAGTTTAATTTGCATTAAAAACAGATTTATTATTTACAGAAGCACAAAGAATTTATGAGACTCAGAGCTGCAGCCCCAGCTTGGATCTCGCCTAATCATAGCCATGGAATCAATTAACAGTTCATCTGTGAACTGTGGTAAAATCTTATGAGATACATATTGGCCAATAACTGAGAACGAGATGAAAGTATGCTCTGTAATAGTAATGGGGCTTCGGGGTTTTACAATTGCCATTGAATAGAGTTCCATTAGGAACTCAGTATTCAGGATGGCCACAAAAAAAATGCTGTGTCTGAACAGATGATAGAGCATTGAGTAGTAATAAACCTGGCCAGCCATTCCTGCTTTGATTAGTTTCCAACACCCTAGAAAAGGGAGCCATTTATTTAAGTGTTCTTGCTCATGGCAAATGAGCTTGTGAGGCTTGGGGTGTGTGGGGGTGGCTGGGTAGAAAGATTGAGTGCAGAGCTATAAATTGCTGCCAAGCCAGTGCCTCCAAGAAGGGCTGCTTGGGAGGCCCGCTAGTCTGGTGTGAGAGTCCATGGGGTAGATCAGGAGGCTCTCAGTGATCTCTGAGAATCTACTTTGCAAAAGCTGGACCAGGTTGGAGATCATTTATTAAGATCAAAGATGATTTTCCATCCTAATCTTGCTATGCCCTCAACTGTACTTATACTTTTATGCATTTGGTGGTCTGTATTCTCGTATCATATAAAGCTTTAAAACTGTAGCCTTCTTAAAGATCATAGGGGCTCAGTCTCTTACTTTACCCTTGAGAAAATTGAGTCTGATGCTGAGTGATTGGCCCCAGGTTACAACGCCAGAAGGTGCCAGAATAGGAGAGAACAGTCTTGATTTTCCATGAAACACTCAACCGATTAATTATTCCCACTGGGCTCTCTAACTGACCACCTCTTAATGCCACAGAGCCAATATGCCAGCAGTGTTCCCCATCATCATTAAACTTCAAGTGAAGAACAGGTACATGACATAGATTGGAGATGAAGAACAAACTCAAAAAGTTTTACCTGTATACCCCCAGGACTGACACACATGCTGGATTTTACATGGATGAGATATATCGAGGAGTATCCCCAGTCAAATTGAATTTCTTAGAAAATGGATTTGAGCAAACGGGTAATGGAGACAGAGAGTGGAGAAGCAGGAAACCGCCCCCCGTGTTCCCCCATCACCCTACTGGTGTTGACAGTTTCTCACCCTCTCCCTCACTCTGTTTTCCCCTCCTGCCTGTTGCAGTTTTGAAACGACAGTAGGATATTTTGGGATGAAGCCAAAGTCTGGTGAGAAGGAGATCACTCCAAACTACGTGTTTATGGTGTGGTACGAGTTCTGCAGTGACTTCAAGACGATTTGGAAACGAGAGAGTAAAAACATATCTAAAGAAAGGTAAGTTCCGACAAAGTCACAAATACCCCCTTTGGGAGTCCAGAAAACTGCCTTCTCAGGCCTAGCAACACGCACACAATTCACACACGTCAGTGCTGTCTTTCAGGTCGAGTGGCCATGGGGAAGGATTATTGCCTCGGGGCTCCTAGGGCAATTCGGGGGAGGCTTGCTGTCCGCACAAGCAGATACCCTCACGTGGTCCGATAAGTTACACTTTCTTAACCCCTTCCAATTACTAGCTAGTAAATGAAAGGGGAGCTGTGCTAATTTGCAACAGATTGCTTCTCTGTGTATTTTCATGTTGGCCCGGGCTAAATGAGGCAGCCTTGCTGTCGCAGACAGTACAGACAAATAAAAGTGAATGCTTTTCCCATTAATATACTGAACTTGCATCAAAGGGAAATCTCCGAGACTCGGGCCACACTTAACACAGTGTTGAAGCCCCGCTCTGGATTTACAGCGCCACTTCTGACTCCCCGTATCCTGCTGAGGACATCAAACTGCCTGCCGCTAGGCCTCATTGCAGCCTCCTGGTTTTATTAGTTGGGGGTAGAAGGAAAATCTCGGCTCTGAATGCAGGGAGGGGTGTGTGTGTGTGTGTGTGTGTGTGTGTGTGTGTGTGTGTGTGTTCATTCGTAGAAAGAGAGCATTTCTGCTTGACCACTGTTTTGATCAGGTTGCCACTGTTCTACAGAGGTGTCACAGATTTAAACTTCAAACAGGTCTTGCTACTACCCCTGCAGAACAGATGCATAAGAGTGTCACTCAAAGTAGAGTGGAAGGAGACAAAAAAAAAAAAAAAAAATCCTACAAATTAAGGGAAATGATTTATTTAATCAAAGCATCTATATCTCACTAAAATTGAGATCTAAAATTTCTAAGTTCAGTACTTTTTTTCTCTACTTTGTAATCAGAGAAAAGGCATATGTATAGTATATCTACACACACACACAATACACTGATATATTTCACCTTAAAAAGCTATTTTTAAAAGTGATCAAAAGTTAGAGATTTTTTGACCCACTATTGCTGAGAGTATCTAAATGTGTTCTTTTTTCAAAAGCCTGCTTTCTTTCTAAGGAAGTCAGAGAGCTTTAAAAATGTTTATCAAACATATCTTTCCACCATTACCTCTTTGGGAACATGGGAATTAACATTAGTACATCCATTATATGGAGAAGCGGAAGCAGAGAAATAGTTAAGTGACATTTTAAAGAAAAAGATCATTGATAATAACATGAAAAAAAAATTCTAAAAACCTTGACATCCACCTCATTTGCTCTTGCCCTGCAGCTGCTTATTTAACCCTTTTAGCTTCCAAGGAATAAATCCTCTTTTGTGAGCTTCATAGGAAAGTGGTAGTCCCAAGCTCTTCTCCCTCCCCACGTCCACACCTGACAGCCAGGAGACCAGCAGTGAGCTCCGAATGTGTGGCCTTTGCTTAAGATTTCGCACCTCACATGTGGAGCATAGTCCTTACTAAATTTGTCCTTGAGGTGGGAGCCCTAAAATGGTCCAAAAACCAAAAACAACTGAGAGGGTAATTGATTGCTTTTCATTGTAATAATCTTCAGTCAAAATAGACAAGTGTGTTCTAACTTAAGAAGTTTCTTTTCCCCGTCACTGAAGTTAGACCAGATAAATTGTGGGTCTGCAGGGGTGATGGTTGGTGTCCTTTAAAATGATGTGTCCTCTGACTCCTCGCCATACGCATTTGCAGCACTGCTTCCTGGGTGCAGCTGGTGAATTGCCCACTTCACACTCAGTAAACCAACACCTTCCAAGGGTCATGACTTTACAGGCCCCTCTCCAGTTCTTCTCACTGAGGGGTCTCTCCATTCTAGCCGCGCTGTGCGAGATGGATCACTGAGGTTTCCAACCTAAACAGCAGCATCTCTGAATGTTAATGATGCCTCATAAAATATTTTTGAAAGCAGCTTGTTTACAAAAATCTATTTGCTAAGAGATGTTAGCACGTTATGTTTATTACTGCTCAGCCATTTCAACAAATTGATTAATATCTTCTTGTGAAGTGGGGATTTTTTTTATAATTGTCCTCTGTCTGCTAAAGATTTTAGATTTTAAAAGGTTGGAATCCCATATTACTCTGATAAAATAAGCAAATTAACTTGAATTCTATTGTAATTAAAATAAGAAACAATAGTACTTTGTTTGACACCTAATTAATGATGTTTGATATTATCATTTTTTATTATACAATTCCCAGAAATCCAATAAATCCCAACAACACTAAATGTCACGAGGTAATATAACCTAGTCCAAAGTCGTCCTTAGAAACAAAATTCAAATGAAAACTTCATGGCTTGTATGAGGAAAAAAAAAAAAACTGGTTCGGATAGCCTCAGGAGAAATTGCACCCACTTGATTTTTAGATATATTTGAAGCCCAACTAAAACCCCAGATATTGGGGGAAATGAAGGATTAATAATAGTGTTTTTAAAGGGACAGAATCACTCCTAAATGGAATGGAAGTATTGAAACTACCTTGAGCCATTTGAGGTCAATCTCAGGAAGTGGAGTTTCTTTACTTCTTGCTCTGCTTAGTATGATTTCCATGAAAACACATTCGTTAGCCTGATGCACAATTGCATTGATGCGGCTCCATGTCAGGATAACAACTGTCCACTGTGAGACCCAGAACAACCTCTGAACACACAAATGACTATAAAAGCTCCCATTGTTGTTGTGCCTTGTGAGTGATATGGTTTACCTGCAGATTAACTATACCCAGGAAAAGAGAAAGCTACTTTATGATGGTATATTGATGGCATTTAGCTTTCCTTGTCATTTAAGCCAATATTAGGCAAGATAGGAAATGTCTATGTCCGGGCACAAATACATAATGCACCACCCCTAGGTCTCCTTTCTGTCACCCGCCCAGTTCTCATGCAGCTCCTAGTCTCGGAACTCATCCTCCAGGGAAATGTACCAGGCCCTTTCCCCTCCCCTTATGAGTGCAGGCAGTGTGCCCTCAGTGGTGTGAAAAAGACCTCTTGATAGAGAGTTAGGAACCAGCATTCTAACGCCATTATTTTGCTACACAATATTTGGCCAGTCACTTATTATTTCTTGGGGGACCCAATGACATATCACATCTGTAAAGTGTATAGGTTGGGAGAAGCTTGAAATCTTCTAACTTGAAATCTCTATAAATCTAGAAACTAGTTTCCTACTATTCCAAAAACTGTGTTTCGTTTCGGAATTACTCTTTACCTTTAGTCTTGAGCTCATTATGGACTCCATTGGAAGCTATTTCAAGCCAATGTCTTGCAGTGAGTCGGGAGGTTTGGGGAGGAAGAATTTTCATTGCCCTCTTGGGATTGGTGAATATCTACAGCTACCTTGTCTTATGCCCCAGTTCTTCCCCTAACATACTGATGTTGGCCCTAACGACCACATTTTTTGTACATGCAAAAGTGTACATGCAAAAAAAAAAAAAATACTTTGCTCATCTGTATCCAACATTGCGCCTATGGCTTATTGAAGTTCATCACAATTTTTATTCTCAGAAACAGCTTTGCCTCAATTGTACCTTCTCATGCTCTTTTGTGTCTCTTGATATGCAAACATTCCATGGATATTTGTAATGCACATCTCTTCCACCTATTAAGTCAGCAGATTATTCAAGCACACGCATAGTTGGAAGGAACCAAACTAATTTTTGCTGCTACATTTATTACTATGCTTTACTCATTTTCTACTTTTTCTTTTTTCTGTTTAATTACCCTGGGATATAGGACCCTTCCTTATGAAATATTCCACTATTTAGGATATCCTAAGACTACTCCCCTCATATAACCACACATGCATACATAGCGGCCACAAACCACTACCACCCACAAAATGAGCTATGAATTTGCCAAAAGGTAAAGAAGTCCCCAAGGAGTCATGACTCCAGGAATAAAGCCTTGGCAAATAATTCACCCCGAGCCAAAGCAAACTTTCAAAGTGCCATTTAAAAAACCCATAATGGGTGAGTAATGAGTGAATAAGGAGCTTGGTGAATTTTATGTGAAATGCAAATAAGAAATTTTATAATACACATTGCTATAATTTACACCACTGTTTTGTGTTGTTTTTTTTTTTTTAGTTCAGCTAAATACCAACAGGGTTTTTGTTGTAACTATATCATTTCCAGCTATTATGGTTAATTATGTAACTGCCATTCCCTTGGCAGCAGATGGTTCAGAGCTGCTGTGGGGTTATCCCAAAAGCTGTTCTCAGAGCTCCCTGTTGCTCAGGTCACTTTAGGAGCAGGAGCTGGGGACTTAAGAGAGACCATCACTCAGCCCACAAAGGGGCAATTGATTGCAGTGTAGATGATGTAGGAATTCTTCTCTTCAGATGAGCAAGTTTTCCTGGAAAAAATTCCATGAACTAACATTTTTATTTATTGAAATCTGCTTTCCTGCTGACATGCAAACATGATCATTACAGTAACTTCTCACAACTTAACTTTCTCTTCCCTGGCCCTCTCTTATGTGGTTAAATGGTTTGTGTACACTTAACTGCTCAGAAGCTTCATATTTCAAGGGACCCCTTTAATAATACAAATCACCCTCTGGTTGACTGGCAAAACTTTGAATTTTCCCAAGTCACATTTGAAGGCAGCTTTGTATAAATCCATAAACGGTAAATGTCCCAAAGAGCTAACTTATAAACCAAATTATCATGATCATGAAAAATAAAACTGTTTATTTCCCAAGCAATAAATTTTAAATTACTTCTGCAAAATTAAAACTATGCTATGACTAAGGAGAGGAGATGATAGATTTTAAAAATGGTAAGAATGATAAAATTATTGATTTTTTTAAAAACTCAAACACCTCTTTTGAGTCCCTTTCCTATGGAAACTATTGTTTTTTCTCACTCTCCTTTTCCTTTTGGCTTCTTAAAAGAAGAGTTTATGTTAATGTCTTTACTTCTTTTTCTTTAGCATATGCTTATTCTTTCCAGTATCATTAAGGTTGCCATAACAA